GGACAGCGAACTCTGGTCCTGTCCGTAGTCGAAGGGCCGTTTCTTTCACCAGTCGATTCATGTGAACAGAAATAGGCGGTAGGTGAAGCTCTGCATTCAGTGCCTCTGCTGCCGTAGTTCTGAAAGCTCCACTGATGAGACATGCTGCCTGCTTCTGGATTGCCACGAAAGGCCGACTGATTATGCGTGCCTTGGAATGACTGATGAGCATAGGTTGATACCACGCGGAAACCCCAAAGAGCATCTGCGGGATTATCACCGCTTGGTAGATCTTTCGCATTGCATAGAGTGAGGCTCCCCACGTTGATCCTGCCAGGCTTCGTAGTGCGTGGAGAGAGACACCGGCCTTGGCCACCGCTTTCTCGCGGTGATGGTGGAATTCCAGACCCGGATCCAGCCAATAGCCTAGGTACCGCTCAGCCGTCCTCGTCGCTGTCACCGTGTGTCCTCGTAGAGAAAGCGATGTGTGTTGTGGGTCGACTTCCCTGGTGTTTACAAAATGCACGAGTGCATACTTCTTCGGGTCAAAAACTGATGCATGTTTCTCGGCCCATTGGTCGGCTTTGCGGCATGCCGCTCTGAGTTTCTTGATGGTTTCGCGTTCGCTGTCTCCCTTTGTCATGAAGCAAACATCGTCGACCCACCCGTTGCTAGTCACACCGTTACCGCAGTTCTCAACGAGGTCTGCGTTGTAGATGAGATATAGAATGGGTGAGATCGGTGATCCTTGAGGGATGCCTGTAGGTGTCGGGATTCGATCAGATGTGCCCTCGGGCATGCGGATCCGTGTGCTTCGGTTGGTCAAGAAGGCCCTCACCCAGGGAACGAAGTGTCCCAGACGTCGTTTCTTGAGGTTGTGTAGTAGACGTTCATGGGAGACATTGTCGTACGCTCCGGACACGTCCAGCATCAGCAGAGATACCACTGGCTTGCCCTTTCCCCATGCAGTTTTGATTCGGTCGATGATAATGTGGATAGCATGATCGGTGGATATACCCTTTCGCCCGCCTAGATGGGTTCGTGGGAGTAAACCGTTGGTTTCTGCTGCGTAGCTGATCCGTCGCGCGACAACTGCCTCCAGAAACTTTCCGAGCGTGTTCAGCAGCGCGACGGGTCTGTAGGATTTTGCGAGCTGGTAGTCACTTTTTCCCTGCTTCCGGAGCACCACCGTGATTGAGCGCTGGAAATGTGATGGGTTGTACCCCGTGTTTATGCATGCGTTGAATAACTGGGCCACTGTTTCTAGAATCACCGGTATCTCGATAAGCTTGTGCCAGAGAGAGTTTGGTATACCGTCTTCTCCGGGTGCTTTCCCTGCTTTCGCTCCTCGCACCGCCTCCTGTATCTCTTGAGCGGTGACTGCTGGAAACTCGATTTGCTGTGGGTACAGGAATGAGTCTGTGTCGGATAGATCGGCCGGCGGTGGTTTTGGGAAGAAGGCAGTCTGGAATGCCTCTGCCTTTTGCTCAACTGTTTCTGCGAGAGTTCCAGGCATTTGGGGATCCTGTATTTTCAGCGAAGGGGTGATACCCTTCTCATATGCCCCGTCTCGGTTTCTTGCCCATTTAGCCAATCGCCACATACCCTGTGGGCCATCTTCAACGACTTGCTGGACTCGGCGCCGGTGCGCTCTTGACAATGTTTTCTTGACGAGTCGCGTTTTCTTGTTGCGTGCTTCCGAGTAGCACATCCAGTCGTAGGGGTCTTTGGTTCTCGTATGTCTGCGACGGAGGCGACGAACTTCTTTGACCGCAACTTTACACTCGTCGTCAAAGTCGGGGTTCGACCACGCGGATGGTTTTGCCCATGGGGTTGATTCCTCGATTGCTGACTGGATCACACCCATTAGCTCCTGGCATTTGGCTTCTATCCTCTGCGGATCTGCCTGGTATAGGCCTCCTGCCTGTAGACCTCCTTCGATCTTCTGGATGAGTTTCTGGTCATCAGTTGCGTTCCAGTTTCTTCTCTTCTGTTGTACAGCAATGGGTGTAATAATATCAAGCACAGTCCTGATCGGGAAATGGTCGGATGCGTGCTCGATGTCATCCGCCCTCTCGCAATTGATAAGCCTGTTGACCAGGTTGAATGTGATGAAGGTGAGGTCAATCACCGACGACTGATCGTTTCGAGACCAGGTAGGTCTGCCTTGTTGGGTCGTCAACTCGAGTCCCCATTCATTGGCAATTTCTAGGAGTTGCTCGGCCTCCTGATCGGCCCTGGTCCCTGTTCCTCCCCATCTCGGGTGATGCGCGTTCATATCTCCAAGGATGATGTGTTCTCCATGAGGTCGTTTTGACAGCTCATTTCTTAGATGTCTAAGGGTATTGCTGCCCGGCCTATTGTATATGTTGTGTATGAAGAGATCTGTCCAGTCTCTGCCTTGATGAGCCTTTCTAAGTTTCAGTAACTGGTAGTCCTGTGAGACGAGTTGACACGACCAATGGCTCGGGTCAAGCCTTTTAGAGACAAACAGGCATACTCCCGGTTGGGAGAGATCCGAGGCTTGGACTTGATCATCCTGGCTTTGGGTTGATCCGTCAGCAGCTGCTTTTGGTGGGTAGATTAGCTGGAAAGTTGCCGTCGCTGGTTGGTGCGTTGTGTGTTGCATTTCGTTCTTCCATGGCTCCTGCACCGCGACGATGTCCGCCGCGAGGACATTTCTGTCTCTGAGGAACGTTGCCATCACTGGCCACGATTTGTGTACGTTGTATTGAAGAATCTCAAACGATTTCATTGATGAGTTTGTTCGTCATCGCTTCGTTCGCTGGCCTCGTGCCATACTTCATCATTTGTGTCTTCGATTGTTGGTGCATCCGTCGGAAAAAGCGGCGGAGATGATCCAATCGGTATCGCTTGCCGCTGCATGTATTTCAGAATCACCAATTTGCGGTATTCGGGGCTCTCGGGGTCCAATTCCCCCTCGTCATCAGGCCCGGACGTGTTACCGGCCTCATTGACAGTGGTGACCTCGTTGATGAATTGGGTAAGTCGGTGTTCTAGGCTATCTTGCTGAGTGTCAGGTTGAGGGAGACTGGCCGGAGTGGGTTGAATGCTGAGCCATTCATTGTCGTCTGGTTGCTCGTCCATGGTGTCGTCCGGCTCGCCTGTGCGGCGCCTTTTCGAGGCCGCTTGGAGTCTTGTGGACCCTTGGCATGCCAGCGGTATCACTGTTGGTTTGGGATTCTTTGGCCTCGTTCTTGAGCCCTTTGGGCGGCCAGGGCCTCTTTTGAGCTGAGTAGGCTGAGTCGGTCCAGTGACCTCCTCTGGTAATGTTTCTACTTCTATTGCTGCAGCCTCCACGTCGATTACAGCATCCTGGGGGTTCCGCCAGGACTCTTCCCCCCGTTGCTCCTCCGGGGCGTGTATCGACGCTTCGAGTCCATTCGTGGCCATGGGGTCTGCCCTGGTCGAAGTTGCTTCGTTGCCAGTGCTTGCCGTCACTCGGAGGTGCAGAGGAACGCGGTGATATGCAGGGCAGTTGGCCAGCGCTTGCTTGGCTTCGTTCATCGCTGCAACCTTCACCGGACATTCCCGACTTGTAGGGCGATGCCCTTCACCACAGTTGGCGCACTTGACTGGTATCGCTTGCCCCTTCGTCGACGGACACTCCCAGGTCGGGTGTCCGTTGGCGCAGTGACCGCATTTGAATAAGTTGGAACAGTGTGACTGGATATGCCCCGGCTTTTGGCATTTTCTGCATAGCTTTATCCGCCCCTCACGACAGAATCGTGATGCATTGTGAATTTGCTTCCCCCACACGACTCCCGAGATGATCGCGCGATTAGCCACGACTGGGCTGGTGAACTCGATCAGGATGGAGCCCTCCGCCCTCTCACCCGGACGGGTCATCCATCCTAGATACTGAATCTTAGCGCCTTCGCCCCAGTTGTTCTGCCTGAGCAGCTCAGCCGCAACGTCAGCCATCGTCTCCGGAGTAACCTTCATGGACCTCACGGGAATATGGTACGCCACCACTCCCCATGACGGTTCTTGGACCACCGAGCCTGGTCCAAAGGCTCTCAGCCACGCAGCATGTTTGCGGAGGACCTCTGCCCCTGCCGCACTGTTGGCGATCATTGCCACATCCCCCGACGGCAATTTTCGAGCAGCGACAAAGAAAGCCTGTCCGGCCAGTACCCCTGAATTCTTCTGACGGGCATTTGATACCCTCTGTCGTTCAGCCCTCTCGACCAAATCTTTTGGTGTCAATCCACGGATTTGCTCGCGGTTCATTCCGACCTTGACGATGACCTCTCGGTCCTCGCGAAGTTCCATTTCCGGTACTCCTGGTGACGATGTGCCGCCGCTCCGGGTGATAGGAGCCGCAGCCGTAGCCAAGTCGCGCTGCCATTCTTTGGCCCGGAAGTTGCGCCACGCTGCCGCAGAGTTCGCCGCGGGGGTAGATAGTGCCGTCGATAATGTGCTCGTTGTCTTTTCAATGGTATCCATTCGCTGGTTCAGACGTTCGGTGTCGATGTTGATTTTGGTCAACGCCTCGAGCACCTTGGCCATCCCCTGGCCGTCTCCCCGTTGGGCGTTGAGTGCGTACTGGCGGACGGCGCGAATATACCCAGTGACATATCGGTCCTCCGTGCCATTGTTTTCGATGTGGTTGAGCACCCTGCGGGCCCCTTCCGCGATGTCGTCCATGGATCGGGGCGGATCCGCGAGGGCCGTGGTTTTTGGCGTTCCTCTCCTGTCAGGGGGCAAAATCTGTGCGTTCGCACCCGTCCCAACCATCGCTGCCATCTCCCCTATGAAAAGGGTATCAGGCCGTAGCGCTTGAGGTTACGATTACGATGAACTAATTCAAGAGGCCGTGAGACCTCTGATTGGCTAGATATTTCAAGAAAACGTTTTTGCCAAGAAAGAGTTGTTCCACACCCCCGACATTTCGCTTGATCGATGGCAAGTCTCCTTCCACAAAGGTAACAGAGACCGCAAAGGAGAAGAGGAAACGCAAAAAGAACCGCTTGAATTTTAAATGGAACGACTCTCTGATGGATTTTGCATCTCCACCCGAGCCGGAACCCGAGCCGGAGGCTGTGCCAGAGGCACCTCCATCCGAAGACGCCTGCGACGATCCGGAAATCCCGTATAAAGAGAAAAGCGCCTGGACTGGGCAATTACGCGACGCATTTGAACGGAGCCTAGTCGTTCCCGGTCCGCAAATCACCGACTATAACTTCACACCACCCGAGAATACCGGGTCCTGGGAAGACTTCACCCCTGTGTTTCTCGAACAAGCTCAACTATACGTGCTGGCCGACAAATATTGCATAGACTCACTGTGCCAGCTGGTACTTTCTAAATTGCATCAAACATTAAGAAGCTTCAAACTTTATGATACGGGCGTGAGTGGTATCATTGAACTTGTTCGATTTGTCTACATGAATACACCGCCAAATTGCGGTGAAAAAGTTGATGCCATGAGGAATTTTGTAACACGTTACGTTGTTTCTGTTCTTGGTCAAATTGGTGAGAATGAATGTTTCCGAGAGATTTTAGAAGAAGGCGGTCCTTTCGTTAGTGATTTCTGGCACACCATTTGGGGTATTGAGGAAAACTCTAGCGCATGAAATGGATGGCTGTTCTGATGTCTTGCGAGTCTACCATGGTGATTCAAGAATCGATTTGAAACACTGTAGGTACAGTATATGTAGCGCGTTCTTCTTAATTAAATCATGGCATCTTGCCCATTGGTTGCTGCAGAATTCGAGTCGACTGATGTTCCTATTTCGTCATGACAGTCAGCGGAGGAAGTCTCCCATATGAATAGATATCTCTGTTATCAGGCCTTAAACACACTCAACATGTGCGATCTGCTCTTCCAGGAAAGGCCGACGTGTGTCGACGTTTGTCAGAAACCTGGAGTCCTTCAAGGGTAGGAAGTAGACGCCATACGAGGCTGAACATCCGTCAACATCAAGGACAGGAGAAAGCACGTGCATTGCCGACTGGTGAAGATATCTGCAAAAAATCTTTCACCCACCCCTTTTCTTTTCAAATAGACTATTCGCTTCGCCGGAGAGTTCAGCTCTGTGGAATAAAAGGGGCCGAGTGAAGGTGGCTGGGTGTGGTGACCCATCCGTTACTCTTGGGTGAATGCCCAAATTGAACAGCCAGCCTCAAAGCTTACAAAAATTGAACAATAACACAGAAGAAATTGCTACTTTAATTAAAAGAATTCAATATGGCTGGAAAGTGGAAAAGTAGAATATTGCGGACAGAAAATGCTGGGAGCAGGTAATTAGATGTTGGTAACCAAATTGCATAGAAAGGTGTGGTGATTCGACTGGTAGTTGCCCTGGTCAATTAGTTCCTAGGTAAACGATTATTTATCTGTCATTCAACCAGTCTGGCCTGACAACTTACATATTTGATCATGCTCGAGATCATGGGGCAGTTGGTGTGCAAAACTACAAACAACTTCTGAATAAATCCGGTTGAACGGCGTGTTCATTTCGTCGAATCTAGCACTCCGCTCTCCCTGCTATCAGATGATTGCCTGTTTGTTATATCGACCCTAAGCCAGTTGATGTATCCTTAGCTAATACGTTCAAATTGCCATCAAACACCATTGTTGGATCCACTTTACCAGCCCTTCACATTCTTTTACCAATCTTATTTCCAACTTTCCAGACACCCCAGCCCTTCTCTTTGATCGGAGTAGTAGTAATTTCGGTATAAACCCCTTGGTGTTGTCCAAACTTTGCACGGTTAGATCTTGCGCGGAGCTTTTCTCCAGTTTCTGGGAAAGATGAAGTCATGAACCAAGTAAATCAGTGTAGATTTTGTGACAATCACACGGGGTACGTAACCTGAGGCATTTTAAACGGACACGCGCCGGGCAATTGGATGGTAAACCACGGTCGGAGTCGCTGGCGATAATAAGTTCACCAAAAGACGCCTAGTTTAGGAATTGAAATGGATAGATGCTCTACGGACTATACAATAAACACGGCGAAAGAACATTTATTTTGGGTCTGCTTGCGTTTTGTGGGCAGAATATTCGGGTGTTTAGGTGTTACGGCGGTGGCCAGCTAACTTACCATTTGCCATCAAGTGCGACTTGTCCGGTCGTCTCGCCGAATCCATCGGTGAGTCCAAAAAAATGATATCCGAAACCCAATTACTTGACGCCAACACATTAATCGTGTTCAAGAGCAAATACGTCGGAAGGATGAGCTTTGTTCTAAATTAGAGGCAAAACAACTGCGTCAGAAGACCAATACCACCAACAGCTAACCAGCTTGTGTGGGAGGATCAATACACCTGAAAGTGATCTACAAGTAATCAACGAGGAAAAATGCGTTAGGGAATTGCGAAGACTTCGACTGAATCTTGATCAATAGGTAAAAGGAATTTCAAAGACACTGCAAAGCTCAACGCTGAGCCAAGTCGATTACAGTGGCATCCTGCAATCGATTGGGACCACTGCAGCCCATCCAAATTCTCTTGTCGCAAGTAACTCTCATCAGCATTGGGCGATTCTTTAATCCTGGATAATGAAAACGCTAAATGATAGCATCTTTCTTCAATACTATCCTGGGATAAGTGAATATGAAAATGAGCTTTTGCTCGAGCTGGATCGACTGATATCTGAGCGGAGTACGTGTTCTTAGAACACCTTCAAAGAGCTTCACTAACCGTTTTTAGGCAGCGTTGATACATGGAGACACTGCAAATCAGGAATTAATACGGCTCTCGGTACTATCCCGAAGCCGTCAAAAGCGATGCGAGTAGAACAACTTGTGGACCATGTCGAAAGCAAGCTGGGAGAATATGCATCAACGGCGCCCAAGATTCGTCAGCAGCAGCTACACAGTATTTTCAGCCAATGTGCTGATTTCAAACTAATGTGCAACCAGCAGCCACAAATCTATAGATTTGTGTCATCGCCATCTGGACATACTGTTGACATGACATGTATGGCTGTGACTGAAACATCGATTGCTCTGAGACAACAATTGCTCTTTCTCTGTGGTAGTTTCTCATACTGTGCGACTTTTTGAGGCATCTAATCACTGGCTCTTCCCAGAAAAAAAATATACAGGCTTTTAGCGTCCTCACTTGAAGACTAAGCCTTTGAACAATAATGTGCGCTGATGTAAAGCAGGACAGCATCTTGCCATTGCGGCCTCATAAGACTTTGGCCTTTACTGTGCCAAGCTTCTCTTATTCCTTCCCCATGCGGTTTTGTATCGAGCCAATAGGCGCCCTAATTTTCCCCAATTTGATTGTCTCGTCATTCTCGGCGGTGTAACATCTCCTCCATGCAGTACATAACGACGGGCAAAATCTTCGGCGGTCTCTCTCTGGTACACGAGGCCATGTCAGTTGAGCTTTTCTGCGTTACATAAGTATTGTACGCATGCTGAAAGCTGTTGTTGATTTCCGACGCTGAGCTTGTTCTCAATAACCAATAAATCTCTTTCCACGCAGAAACCGATGCGATATACTCCTTTTGACTTGAGAAGTTCCATCAGCACTTGCCAAGAAGGCTGCTGAGCACTGGCATCAAGTATTTCTGCAATTCTGACGGTTTCCTGCTTCAGAAAATCTTCTGCCCTCTCAATGTGAAGCACCATATCCATAAAATCACGCGTAAAGGTATGAGCCGTTGAGGCAAAGCCACTGCGAGAAAAAGACAGATCTTCGTACTCAAAATTCGATGTTTCTGCCTGTCCAATGGAGTAAGGTGTTCTTGAAGAGATGCATAACGATTCAACCTCAGTGTGTTCAGCAGTGTGTTCAGAATGGCAACCTTGAATGGAAGCAGAAGCATCATGCCGTAATAATGCTCTTCTGCCAGCACGGGATTCAAGCAAAGCACCAGATGTGACAGGGACAGTACCAGATTCTGTTATGCCGGAAAGCGAAACTCCTGCGGAAGAATCGGGTGGTACAAGTTTGTGTGGAAATTAGGTCGTCGGTCCAGTTCCTCTTTGATACAAACCTCCATAATACCTATTAGTTTTGTTGCGATTGACTTATACAAGTCGTAGGATTTGTTATTCCTCGTGGAAGGAGTAGCCCATGTGGAATAGAGCTTTTGATGGCAAGCCGAAGTCGTAAATGAGAGTGGGTGAAGAGCAAGAAACCTGTCGCAGAGATAACATGATTTCTTGCTCACTCCAATGAAACGGAAAGACGGTATACGCTCAGGATTCTCATCGTAAAAGCCCACAAGCTGTAGCTCGGCATGAACAGTGAGATGGGTCGGGCACTGGTGTAAAAAGTAATTTTGCGGATCCCCCTTCCCTTTCCAGATATGTTGAAGACGACGCAGACACTCGTCCTCCTTTGAGCCCACAAGCCTCCGTAGAACACGGACAAGATTTAACTCTCTGGTATAGATTGGCGTCTTTCCTCGGACCGGCACCGATTCGACGTTCATAGGGTCGAACAAAGCGGGTAATTCAATCACTATCTGGAAAAATGCCCGTGATGCAATTCCATAGCGCCCCAATTTGAGTATGATCAATACCCATTTCTCCAAATGGCCCGCATTTGTACTAAAAGCGGCATTTAGGAGGTCTGCATAGTCATGTTTTGCTCTCTGGGAGTGTCGAAGAAACTGCACTAACGACTCTGTGTTTTCACAATCCAATTCTCCTAGTGCAGAGATATAATCCAGCCATTCGAAAAAAGAGTCCAAAGGCTGAAACGAGGTGCCACTCTGATGCTTGGTAATACGGAGACTGAGCTCTGAGCGTGAAAAAGTCGACTTCTTGAGGCAATTTTGCAAATCTTTGACATAGTGCCGGATCCGCGAAATGTCCATAGAAACGATTTTGATCAGAATTGATGTTTCTTCCGTGCCCTCTGTTCTCAGTCATTAAAGTGAAGTTGACAAATTAAGACTAGAAACGAACCTCCACGTGCCATATTGGAGAGGAGCGCGACAATGCCTCGTGCATTCGATAAGACAGTGTTCTTAACACCGCTATTGCAAGCAATCCTGATTGTTGCCCCTGTAGGCTGGTTTTCTTCCATACATGCTGCTGATACACTGTCGCCACCTTTGTGACTAGCACAAATGAAGGCGAAGGAATCGAGGAATTTTCTTTTGAGAAGCTGGGCTCTATGAGCACCTGCACATTCTTTCAAGTCCAGCCCGTGTGTTGTTGGAACTCCTCTTACTTCATCCAAGGCTTGCAGAAGTAGAGCTGTTTCCAAAAACCGTGTTTGAAAATTTCCAGTTATAGAGAAGGTCGACATATTAGGATAGTCTATTCTTTTACAAGCCAGATGCTCAAAGTTAGACCATCCACTTTAGTGCATAGGAAATGTAAATCTGTCAATTATTATTCTCGAGTCTCGAGAGCCTAAATCTATGACGTCATGAATACTGGCCGGATTGTTAATATATGCTTAGTCAACATCACTTCGGATCAATTCAATCATGGCACTGAGTGGTAAAGCTTACATTGACTGCTCCTCTGCGAGACCTTAGTCTTCTCGGTTCTATGCAGTGTAGGATATGGCAGGCTTACGCACTTTTACAAATTGCTTTATTGATGCCTGACGCGCCCTTCTCGATAACAATTGAGCAGCGGGTCAGATGGTATCAGCCATTCTGTCTCATTTACTTGCCTTACGAGACTATCCTTGACCGGGATTTAGTGATCAGCATGCCAAGGCGAGTTATAAGCCCCCAAGGAACGCTAATACCTACTCCTAGGAGCACCAATACCCCGGGAGCTAGCCCTGGTCAAACGCAGGTTTAGAGGTATAATGTCAATAAGGCTATCGTTTCAGGAAGCTAAGATCTGCCTTGAGAAAGGTATTTGCCTTCACCTGCTAGCTTTATTCTTCATCTTACTCTGTATCGTGTTATCTCTAGTTCACATACATTTAACCACATGTATCTAACTAACGTATTTCACATGTGAGCGGCGCGCACAAGCGAGCGGCGCACCCCACCAAGCCTATCAATTTTAAGTGTAATTATCTCAACCAAAAAGCCATTAAATTCGCTAACCTAAAAACAAGTTATATTAGGACATGTAGTCAATTTATGACCCTGAATTCCACATATACTGCACTTCGGTAAGGCTCTCGTACGTGGCTGTAAAGGTGTCGGAGCGGATTCTGCCTCACGGGGCATTTTTGCTAAAACTGTCTGCACTGGCCCCCATGAAATTTCTGCTCCCCAGATAACCTGATAGCCCGCACGCTGTTTTCTCTCCTCAGTGACATGGATGTTGGATCACAACCTTCCCTTCAAGACCAACTTTCCGAATCAATGATATGGGGGTCTGAATATAATAAACAAGGCAGAATATAATTATAATAAGATAGTCATTGCAGCATAAAGAGTGAAGTAATACTAGACCAGTGCAATATGTGCGCTATCGTATATTACACGAAGCTTTGATACACTTCCACCTGCGTGTCTCTTGTCCCCTAAAACCATCTGTATGCTATCACTCCCTCAATAATTGCTAGAAACCTATGCCCAATATGGCACCAAGACTGTCCCACTCGAAGCTACAGAGTCTCAACTGGTTTGCCCACCTTTTATACGCGTCTTTATCGAACCGCTCTTTTTGAACGCAGTAATCTAGATTTATAGAGCGTTTAGTAGGCAAGTAAGTGGACACGGGTCGCAGATGTAGAAAATGATTATGTCCACCTCGGCCAAAAACAGCTTAAAGCGGCTCCGGATAGGGGCCTACGAAGGATCATCACAGACAAAGAGGAACTCGAATTCATCGATTTTAATGAATACTGTACAGGCGAAACAGAGGGACGTCTGCTCATTTGGAGACGTCGCAGGAATTTGGATTCTTTGACTGATCCACAGCCCCACCCCTACCTGGTTCCCCAAGAGGAAAGCGCGAATTTCCTTTTATTGTAGCACTCGATTTGGCTTTGTTCATTCATTCTACGTACCCCGAGATTCCTAGGAGCTGTGATATACAGCCTAGGATCTATCTAGTATATAAACAAATGATTTGTGGCTTATGCCATATATTAAACATCATCACCCCACTACGTTCTTTTCATTACAATCTATCTCTCTGCCTACTAAGTGACTGTGCTAAGCATATTCAGATTCATTGTCAATATGGTAAGTAGAGTCATCTACGTCTACAGTTTTTGATTTGAGCAATGCCACTAAGCAGCACAAGGTTATTGTGGCCTCCTTGAAGACGATAACCCTTATCCGGTGCCACAGGATTGTTGATAATACGACGACCTTTTTGGTAGAAGGAGTCGTAGGCACGAAAGAGAGTGGAACCAGAGAAAATTTGCCGTGGGTATTTAATGGATGGAGCCTACCTCAATCCATTGAACTTAACAGGGACTTGTACAACTGGTTCGAATGCGGGCTCAAAGTCACTTTGGACGCAACGAGTAAGGCGAAGAAAGGCCGACACCTGGACGTTGTTTGCATTTTAGGGGCCATCCCAAGTGTTAAAGATAATACGGAATTCGATATTCACGCAGCTCTTTGGCTTAAATCCGAAATGGTTGAGAAAATCGTTCCTTGCCTGCTTAAAAGTTACAGCACAGATCCGGGTATGTATTTCAGCGAAAAGGGGAACTCCAAAAGGCTAATTGCCACTCAAAGGCGCTATCGATATTAAGAATCTCCCGAGCCCTAAGAGGGAAGCAGGCATGAAGTCGATCCGCCCACGACGCCAGCCACGTCGCTCCGTCAGAATTCGAAATTTACGCAAGATGCGAGACTGAGATTCAATACTTTGGGGGTTCAAATCTGAAGCAAGAAAATCATGTAGCAAATCAAGCGACGAAAAACTGTTGGGCGGTGTCGAGGAGGTACAGGATGGATCAGGGATATTTTCACCATATAAAGCACTGAAGTGCCGCCCACTACCGTTGCACTCAGCAGGAAGTAACAGTGGAGACTGTCAAATTATCAAAGTGAGAAATGGTTGTCTAAATTGGGCGCTCTCATATTTGACTCGCAAATTCAAGTCGTACTGTGCAGCCCCATGCCCCATCTATTATATTTTATGTTCGCGCACATGCCGTGAATGTGTTCGCGTCAAGTGAACGGGTGACGGCTTCTATTTCTGGTATGACACACCGATGAATCCCGCAACATCGACCGGACAAGTCTCTTTTGATGGTAAATGGTACTGTAGCTGGCCACCGCCGTAGCACCCAAACACCCGAATATCCAGGGGCAAAGAATCTAGTATTATTACAAAGCTCAAATCCACCGGATTTAGAACCGTGTCCATAGCTCAGACATTGGTTCAACCAACAAGTACTCGAACAAGAACCAAGCTAGCAGGCGAAGGCAAATGCCTTTCTCAAGGACAGATCTTGGCTTCCTGAAACGATAACTCATTTCAGTAATGATCTCCAGCACCACGAAGAGGTGTCTGTCCTATCGCTGGAGGTAGCGGTAAGCCACTGGGTGATGGTGCCAGGTAGCTGAGACAGAGCCGTGCAGGTTAACACGCTGGAAGACACGATCACTAGATGATTACCAGGTAGCAGCGACAGAGCCGTGCAGGTTGTCACGCTGGAAGGCAGGATCACCCTGTTATATCCATGTTACTGTAGGGGAGGGCTTTGGACTTTATACCCTTCGGACTGCGAAGATCGAGATCGACAAAGACATGCTATCCAGTGAGGTTGGCACAGCACCGCATTCTTCAACCAGCCCAATCTTCCTGTGGAGTTTTATTGTTTTGCTTGATCGTCCCAATGGATACTGGCGGGGTCGCGTCGGTCCTTGTCTATCGAAATCAGACCTCTTTGACAATTCAAACTTCATAACGACCTGCAGAATATGATTCCAACCGCGTTGGTCTCTGTCAGTGACCGTCCCATAGAAGCTCTCCATCGTGCTTTCGCAAGTACTACAATTGGAGAGAGGATCCAAGCACCATTTGGATTGCAGTTATCTCAGTTCCGGTCACTCATTGTGGCGAGAAACCCTATCATCATGCCCAAGAACTTGCTGATGGGGACGACAGGCTCAAGCATGAATATTTGTTCGAATGGAAGATCCCCAAACAATCCGTGAAGCATATGGTCTCAGTTGAGACACTCCTTAGTTGGGTCTTTGTGTAAAACTATGGAGGGCTGTTCAGAAACGAAACGAAGATCGAATCCTCCATCAGGTGTGGATGTTTTTCACGGCAGGTGCAAGAGTCTCAGGAAGCGGCGGTTTCGACATATTTTTGTGTCGCAAGAGGGTATCACGTACGTTGACGGAAAGGTTGACCTCACGGGCTGCTCCGGGGAGAATGTACGCCTCCAGGAGAAGCTGATAGAGCTTACTTAGGTTGATGCTTGCCGTGGAGTTGGTTGTCTCTATGGACTTCTCTGCTGATTCGACCAATGACTTGTAGCCTTCGCGATATCGTTTCGCTTCGAGAATGAATTCTAAATTCTCGAGGCAATGGTTTTGAGAGAGAAATTCTCTGAATGCGCTGAGGGTATACGGTGGAGGGGCGGTGTTATTCAGCACTTCATCGAGCGTCAGCCCCCAGGCTGCCCTGTAGGACCTAGCTCGAAGATTGTTTAGCATTGTCGATGTTTCCGAAACGCCTATTGACGGATCATTGGAGCCGGAACTGGGCATTGTGTAAGAACTTTGTAGGTATAGAAATTGGGCGGCTAGCGGATGCATAAGATTACTCTAGAAGGAGAATGAATAGTCTGTCTTTTAAGACAGTTTACCTTGAGATAAGAGAGGCGCAAAGTGGTGGAACTCGATGATCGACTGAGATGGTAGCGAATGATAATTTGTGGGTCCTCGACAGATGGCGTGATCAATTTAGACTAGTGTGTGTCAATCCGTTAAAGAAAGAGCGGATTGCAATGAAATGAAAACTTAAAGGAAGCAAGAAGAAGAGAAACGTGGGACAATGGTTGGTGGCGAATGGCGTAATGAAGAAAATCCTAGTTGCCAAGGGGATGCAATTACCGTAACTTACACATTCTCATGGAAAGTACATGGACAGGTTCAACTCTAGCGGAAAGATCTTCCGCACATGAACTAGTGCAACTGGTGTACAGCCTCGGGGAAATAATGACAGACATTAGAGGTAAGACTGATTTCGAATATCTGTATACACAAGAAAGCTTTAGGTACAACTTGGCTAATTGTGAGGCGAACTGTCCTGTCTGATATGTCAGTTGTGAGAGCCCTAATAATCGTAAGGCTGAGTGACTTGCCCCACACATTCGGCCACACTTTTGGCCACACTCGAAACGCCTCACGTTGGGCAGCAAAAGGAGGCTGAGTAAGAGATTGCGGACGAGTGTGTTCGCCCGCAGAAACACACTGATTTTGCCTTCGCCAGGGTCTAGCGAGTCAGCGGCGCTGATTTCAAATTGCAGCCTCATGTCATATGTTTAATTACCGGCTGCATATATTCTCTTGCCCATTGAACTTCATTCTTTCGCCACTCTTATAGAGTATTTATCTGATATCGTGGAAAGCATCGTTGAGACTCCCAAATAACCATCCGGTTTTATTCTTGAGGTTGAGCCTGAAGAATACGGCATTCTTCTTCAGGTCCTGGCGCAACGAGCCCTCTAGGGAATTCGCAATATTCGAAGGGCAATATACTACGTGAACCGACCACCGGTCCATCGGTCCCACCTGGACCGGTTGGGATTCGATAGCCTGCAGGTTATTGTGAGTGCTACGGCAGCGGCGCCTAGGTGGCCTTCACGTCCCGAGGCATCAGGGTAGACCACGATGGCGGATGTGGACCCCACGGTCTCAGCCCAATCTCTTGCCGTTTCTCGGTCTGATCCGATCTCAATCTCTGTGAAGGAGTCGGCTCGCCACGGCGGTAGCGGTCGTGAGTCGATAGTTTCTAGTTCATCTAATCTTCCTAGGTTCATGGTCTTCAGGGCTTCCGCCAGTGGAAAACGAGCGTGCGATCCGATATTGTCCGGCCCCCAAGGACCACAAGACGCCACTAGTATTCTTCACTATGACCAATGATCCCGGATGGTTGAAGCTGAGGCAGCTGAGTCGGAGTGTGCAGCCGGTATTAGGCTCTCAGAACATTTTAGTTTTCAACTAGAGAAGCCTCGCATCAAAACGGTAGTAAGCTATCATTCTGAGTTTCTCGAGCTGCTCCTCTTTTGTGTTACCAGTTCTTCATTCAACATCCCACCATGTCGGGCACATGAGCTCAGTACCAGCTGTTGAGCATCAACTTGGGCACTTTAGAGATCAATAACGATAAGAACTAAGCAGCGACATGCCCTTTTTGGTGTTACAAGCAGTTTGTCTGAATATAGTTCATATCCTAGTCGATCTTCCCGATCTCGTGTTATACTGTATATTTGCGGTTGCAACGTTAACATTTGCAATTTATGAGTTCATACATTAATAACATATGCCACCTCATAATTAGATATGGCTATGGTTTTTCATGTCAGGACAACAAGGTTCATGTTGGTAATTAGATAATGGCAGGGAGGGTGAAGCTCAGATTCGACGAAATATATAATCTGCTCAACCGAGATTCAACATAAACAGTGGTTTTATTCACTTGTTTAGCACAGCAAACGCTCGAAGACCTCAGATATGGACCAATAAATCAAATTGACAGGCTAGGCCAATCGAATCACTGTGAAAAAGAATCACTACCAATTGACCAGGTTTAACTACCTGTCGGATCACGATCACCACTCCCCTCTCTTTTACAATCTGGTCAGTAAAATTCACTTACCAGCCCCCCGGGTTTTTCTGTCCGCAAATCTTACCTTTCCGCTTTCTAGCCGCATTGTATTGTTCCTCTTGACCAGAGTAGTGGTTCCCCAGTGTGTTCTTTCCCTAATTTTTTATTAACCTTTATGCCTGACTACGCAATTCGGACGTTCAACTCTCATCGTCTCTAACCTTTCTTTTGCCGCTACAATAAACGCACAGCCTGCCAGGTAACATAATCATATACACAAGGGCTCGCGATGACAAAGAGGGTGTTGAATTGAGCGATCATTTGGTTTTGCGCAGGACTGCTGATCTTTTCTGGTTTCACAGCACATAAGTTACTGTGTCTGTTCATAGAGAACGTACAAACGTGAAGTAAGAGAACTGCACACATTTGATATCTTATCTATCAATAGCAGCTTTGGCATTCATTTTGTCCATTAGAAAAAGGGGGACTACGTAATAAATCGACTACCTGAATTAATGCAGTGCTGCGGCCTAGTGGATCCCGCGGAATATACTATTTGTTCCCCGACCATTCAAGTCAGATGGTTGAACTCAGCAGAAAAACACTTTTCACCGAAGTCACGTACAGTACAGGCCCTGGGATTAGGGCTCCCGAAAGGAATAAATGAATGCGAATATAGGGCATATTCATATTCGCACCCCGCGAATATGAATAAATGAATATCGTATTCGCGCGAATAAGCGCATTATTCATATTCGCATTCATATTATTCATATCATGCATTTTGCGCGCATTAATGGATCTTCCGTTTCCCCGGTTTTTGTATTACAGAAAAACACGTTTCCACTAGCCAACTTGTACAGTGACTGGCCATAAGTTTGGACACCCTCCTTAGACCCACTCAGATATTACATAATTTTCTGCCGGTTTTAAACCCTCATGCCATTTAATTAATACTGCGTATACCATCCCTCACTATCAATAATAGCTTGCACCCGATGCGGCATAGTCTCAGAGAGATGTTTTAGGTGCTCAAGGTTCAATCGGTCCCATGCAATCTGTGCTGTATCTATTAAAATAGCCTTTGTCTGCTCATTATTCCTCATATCAATGAGATCAGGCCGAAGCTTATAGATCTCTGCCTTTAACAACGCCCAGAGGTTCTCAATTGGATTTAAATCAGGCGAATGTGGCGGCCATTCCATTACCTCGAGCTCTAAGTCCCGTAGAGCTTCTCGGACGACGTGGGCCGTATGTGTTGGTGCATTATCCTGCTGAAAAATCGACCCTTCATTCGATATTAGGGTAGGTAGGATACGGAGGTATAGATCCCGGATAACGATGCTATTCACACCTCCACGCTCTGATTCCGGATCCCCGAATAGCGGAATCAAACCAGTTCGACGGGTAGCGCCCGAGAAAGCAGCCCAAAACATCTGCTTAACTTGCTTTCCCCGTTGTGGAAGGCCTTGAACTTGTCCAAGTTTTGGCTGGTCTTTTGGCCGAGTAAATGTCCATTCTCGACGGACACCAATTCCACGCTCTACCGTACATTCATCAGACCAAAAGACGCGAGCCCAATCTTCGGGAGTAAAGTGTTGATAGCGAAAAGCCCATTGACGCCGTTTAAAGGCATGTTCCTCAGTCAAATAAGGTCGCCAGCTACATCGCCATTTCCGGAGGTTTTCAGCATTCAAAAGCCGTCGAATTGACTTTATTTTCACTTTATAAGAGACCTCAGTAAGAAGGTCTTCGTGTGTAACGCGAGGGTTCCCGTGGATTGAGTCCAAAAGGCGTACTTTATCGGCTTCATTAAGCTTCTTCGGTCGGCCAGAACGCGGCTTTGAGACACCGGCACGTCTTTCATGCTCTTTTTTAATCGTATACCGGATCCCCGATAGTGAAATCCAGGGGTATCTCTTATGGATACGTTTATAACCCCAATAAGCAGCCGTATGAAGCTCACAGATCCTCTCGCGTAAAGCAGGTGTAAGTTCTGAGCGTGGAGCCATAGTAAAAATAGCAGGTTTTGAAAGGTAGGTTTCATGAAATAGTATTATAAAATAGCTAGAATGGCTAAAATCGCGAGAAATAGCGACGCGTAGCTAGCGTGTCTCTCTAGGCGGTGTCGGCTATAAGGGAAAGCGGTATGAAAGTGGGTCTAAGGAGGGTGTCCAAACTTATGGCCAGTCACTGTATTTCAAGTGCGATCACGGCCTCGGTCAAGCATAGTAGAAAATATTTCCCATGCAATCCATGTTCTGAAGTATATACCCTATATTGTAGGGCTCGGTAAGCTCTATATATTCTGCGTCATTATTTTTCGTGATTTTTTATAGGTAAATGTCTAGTTTTGGTGACCAACGGTTGCTACAGAAAGTCGAGCGAAATTATATATATCTACAAGTCGTCTTTCCACATCTTTGCTGCTCTAGTTAAATCGACTACCATAACTTCTCTTGTTCCCACTCGATCTACTCCAAAGTTTAGATTTATTATAACCATGACTATTGGCACGTAAAAACGCGTTTATCATGCCACCTTAACTCACTTCTCATGCAGGTTACAGATTGTTTACCATGAGAGTCGCGAGTGAGAAACCGCCGCGTGTAAAGAAAAGACCTATCAACTTTCCACTTTACTGGGATTCGCATCAGGCGAAAGCATAGCTAGTGTTTCCCCATCATTGTTTCATTCTCACCGTTCATTTCCGACCCGCCATGCTATCAAGTATTGTCGAGTGATACTAAAGGTGTGCCCCGCCTCGCTCCCAGGTACCACTTGGACTACTAACACTGAGCAAATACAGAATGGCATCCTCACCTAACCCATTTGTGCGAAAGACGCGTGGTCTTCCGCGTCGCGACTACAATGCTCTGAACAATGGCACACCCTCCCTACTCCCTGAGCCATGGGAAGGAAATATTCGTGAAATAGA